AGGAACTATGCACCACACAACAGATCTGGTGTGAGGAAGTTTATTGTGGGAAGGGAGAATGGGGCCTGGAGAAGGGATAGAGACAGTGAGTGAAGCATGAGGGGTCAGGAAGGGAGAGAAAGGGTATGCACAGGGCAGAGAGAGAAAGAACGTGGGGACAGAGGGAAGCCAGAACACAGAGAGAGAGAAAGAGAGAGAGGGCTGGGTGACGGGGGTCCTTAGAGCTCCCATACCTGGCACAGCTGGCAGCAGTGATGATGTGGTAATTGCTAGGACCTGAGGGCAGGCCCGCTGAACGACCTGTGTGCTAGCACTGGCTGCCGCGCCAGGGCACTCCAGTTAGCAAGCCTCTGTGCCTGTGCCAGAGGGGAAGCTCCATCAGGCACTGCGGGACTCCCCCAGCTTGCCTCCTGTTCTTCACTTGGGGAACAGCACAGTAACCTCTTGTCTGATTTTCCTAACTCCTTGGCCTTCTCTTGGATTTTCCCCTTTCAACCTCAGAGAAGATCCTAGAGGAATCAAGAGAACAAGAAGGAAACAGGCAGTTGGGGCATCTTTTTGTCCCTTACCTTTGCACCAGGAACAAGCTAGCAGGATGTTAAGGGCATCCTTGACACAGATGAAATTTTAAGATGTTTAAGGCTGTGAAAAGGGCTCATCTAGGACCCATGTGGGTCTGACGGAGGCAATGATCTTAATATGCAGGGGGGAAAAAAGGTAAGACTCATGGAAATAGGGAGGCTTCAGAAGCTGTTTACCTGATTGCCTGATTGTTGAAGATTGCTGAAAGACTGTCACCCCCAGATCATATAAGGTTCTAGCAGGTTGTTTTCTTCTTGGTGTGGAGAACATTAATATTTTAAATTCGAACTAAATATTTACAGAAGAAAAAAGTTTCACTCAGGAAATGTATTTGACATGGTGAGACCAAAAAAGATTAAAAATTAGCAGCGATTATTAATTAAGGCCTGAACTATGTGGGTGGAGAAGTCTAGTGATACCGAGGGGAAGGACCGCCTTACTGAATTCTTTCTCCACCCACGAGATAACAGTTGCTAGGAAACTGGCCCATCCCCCTAGGGGGGGACACCAGGTCAAGGTCTGGGGACCTTCCTATAGCCAATCAATTCAAAATGTAGCATTTTGACCAATAGAAGCTTGCCAGGCAGAAATCGCCCCTGCTTTGGGCATGCTGGGAGGGACCAGAATCTATATATCGCCCAACTAACCTGGGCGCAGAGCGCTCAGCTCCCACCGCTTGGTGCTGTGAGTGTTGTGGGCCCAAGCTGCAGCTTGTAAGTTACAATAAAAAGACCCTCATGTGTTTTGCAACGGAGTCGATTCCTGTAGATCTTTTGGGGGCTTTCGAACTGGGTGTAACAATGGGATCCAAGGAAGGACTCTTTGTAGTAGGCTGTCTGGAAAATGTATGGGAAAGAGTTTTGTCCTATTCAGGGAGGGCAGAGAGACAGCTGCTTTCTGGGCACATTGGGTGAAGGAAAAGTTGCTAGAAATTTTCAGTGAGAGAAGTGGGCATAAGCAGGAGCCTTTTGTAGCTAAGTTGGGTGGGGGAGGGGGAGTGCAGCAAAAGGATTCTATAGAAAGGCCAAATTTCAAGATAGAGTTTTGTTGCTTTGTTTTGAGACAGGGTTTCTCTGTGTATCTCTGGCTGTCCTGGAACTCACTCTGTAGACGGATCACAGAGATCTGCCTACGTCTGCCTCCTGAGTGCTGGGATTAAAGGTGTGCACCACCACCACCAGGCTTCAAGACAGACAGGGTTTGAAAGAGCTATTTGCCTAAAAATGCAGCATCTGCTCCCAGGAAGTACCAAGTGAGACACTCCTGTATGCTGAGGACACAGCAAGGACAAGGCGGATGTTCTGGAATCTATATTCCTGGTTTAGGCAACTGAAACAAGAATACTAACTCAGATCAGTGTGAGATAAATCATCGGGAGAGGATGAATGATCCTCAGAACCCTCACGGTAGGAGAGAACCAGCACACGCGCGCGCGCGCGCGCGCGCGCGCACACACACACACACAAAATGTAAGAAAGGCCATTTTGCTGGTAATTTGTAAGTCAATACATCAAGTGCTGCAGTCAACTTAATTTCCATCCTGGAGTAACAGAGGGAGGAGCACTCATCAGGCCCTCCATGCTCCCACTCCATCCGCCCCTGTGTAGCTACATACAGCTCCTAGGAGCATCTGAAGAGCCAAAAATGTTGTGTTCCAAGGGACGTGCTTGGGACTGTGTCACGCTCACCAAGTCTGGCAGGCACACTAAAAAAAAAAGTAAAAAGCCATAGGAATAAAGTAAAATTTAACAATAGTCTTTCCTGGTAACTGCCAGAGAGATATACGGTGTAATTTTTAATTATCTCAGCCTTGTTAGGAGTAAAGTTTATCACTTATTCTATAAAACACCCAACCAATGGACACCGAATCACGCTGAACTTTGATGCCATTACACAAAATGAAGAAACAGAGCACATTACAGCAGCAGACTAACACAGGGTCCATCTTTACAGTTAGATGGTTCAAGAAGGGCTCAGTCATAAATACTAATTGGAAAAAAAACCTATTTAAAGTCACAGGATTTTAACTTTAAGTTAAAATATTAAAACAACAACAAAAGATAAAATAAAATATAGCTGATAGTACAGTTTAGCAGGAATATGGTCCTTTGGTCTCAAAGCTTCCCTCTGACAGGTTTGTAAGCGCCAGCAGTGAGTCTGGGAAGTGCTGGACCTTTCCTGTAGTGAGGCTCCTGCTCCTCAGACTTCCCCAGCAGTGAAGCCCAGCTGGATATGGAGGCTGCAGAGGGTGAAGTAAACAGCCCCTTATATGGTCCACAGGAAGGAGAGGCCAGGGCCGCCTGAGGTTTGAATGTCTCAGGCCTGAGAGGATGGTTGTGCCTGCCCATACATGTAGATGGTACAAGCTACGGAAGGCCCTTGGTCTGGAAATGAGAGAACAGACTGGGGGGGGGGGTATCTGGCACCCCGCCAATGGTATCATAGACTCCAGAAATTTATGGGAAGCACATTCCTGAAAAGAAAGGAATTAAGAGTCACTGCTTTCTACAACAGTTTCATCACCAGCAGCTGGAGACTGGCTTGGAAACAGTTTTAGGGCCCCACTCATCCACGACGTTTCTCCCCATTCCAGTTCCCTCACTACTTCCTTTCTCTCTGTCCCCTTTCTCTCTTCCATTTGAGTCACAGTATCACTAGGTAGCCTGGGCGGGCACTCAGCCTAGGGTCCTGTTGCCCCAGGTCCCCTGACTTTGCAAGCATGTGCCACCACATCCGGAGGTTTGGTTGTTTTTGGTTTTTTCTTTTTGTTTTGCACGTTGTATTGGTGTGGTGTGCAGGTGTTTGTGTGTTTGGGTCTATGCGGTGTTGGCGCACAGGTACACGGAAGCCCAGGTGAGGAGCCATCTTCAGTCAATCAGCTATCTGTTGAGGGGCCATCTGTTCAGCAAGCCAGAGCTCACAGACAAGGCTAGTCTTGTCAGCCAGGTCACTCTGGGGCTTCTCTCCACCTCCAAGGCTGGAATTACAGAGGGCTTACCCACTCAGCATTTTACATGCATTTCTGGGGATCTGAACTCTGCTTCTTACACTTGGGTGACAAGTGCTTTAATTTCTGAGCCACCTCCTAGCCTAGTTTTTGTTTTGGTGGTTTTTTTGTTGTTGTTGTTGTTGTTTTGTTTTTTCTAATTACAAAAAAATTACTTGTGTTGTAAAAACAAAAACAGAAACAAATTCAAAGTCAGCCATGGTGGTTTATGCCCATAACCCCAGTGTTTGAGATGTTGAGATTATCATGAATTTGAGCCTAGCCTGGATTGCAGGTAATCATGAGCTATAGGCTCTTTAAAAACAAAAGTAAAAGGGCTGGAGAGATGGCTCAGAGGTTAGGAGCGCTGGCTATGAGTTCAATTCCCAGCAACCACATGGTGGCTCACAACCATCTAAAGTGAAATCTGGTGCCCTCTTCTGGCATGCAGGTATACATGCAAACACACTATATACATAATAAATAAATCTTAAAAAAAAAATCAGCAAGCTATAAATGGAACGCCAGAGTCTAGTGTAAAAGCCTGCTGCACTCCAACAATAGTGTAGGGTCCACAGACACAGTAGAGTTTTCTTTTTTTGGTGTTTTTTTAATTTTATTCAGAACTCTGTGGAAAACTTGAGACCCTGAGGTAAGAGCTTTTTTTTTTTTTCCAAGTTTTATTTTGCCAGGCACGATGTTGTATACTTTTAATCACACCACTCTAGAGAAAGAGGCAAGCAGATCTCTGACTCTCAGGACAGCCCAGCTGGAGGTACACAGAGAGATCAATCTCAGACAGATTTATGCTTTTTAATATGTGTGTGTGTGTGTGTGTGTGTGTATGTACGCAACGCGTATGCAGGTGTCCAAGGATGTCAGCAGATGCTTCAGATGCCCTGGAGTTGGAGTTACAGGCAGTTGTGAGCTGCTGTTGTAGACACTGGGCACAGAACTCTGTTCCTTGGCGAGAGTGCACACCAGCTCTCTAGCCCAATTTATTTTAATTAGAATATGAAGTATTAGATATTATGTTATTTTCAAGTGACATTAAGTTTAAGAGAGTGACTGGAAGGCTGGACATAGCTGGTGGTAGAGTGCTTGCTTACATTGTTTACATTGTTTGCTTACTAGGTTTGATCCTCAGTACCAGGAAGGGGGGGGGGGAAGAGTGATTTAAGAAGCCAGGAGTAGAGGCAAAAGGATCAGAAATAATGTCACCTTTGGTTACAACAGTACATAAGAGGCCAGCCAGCATGGGCCATGTAAGACAAAAACCAACAACAAAAGTAATTAAAAAACTAAATGTAGAAATCAGCCAAGAAAAAAATAATAGACACATTTGGCTTAAGGCTCCCAGTGCTATGAAGATGTTTGGTGTGGGTCACCTCTCTCTCAAAGGCACCCCACCCACACACACCAGGATCTTATAATGTAATGGGTCTGGAACTCCTTATGTAGGACAGGCTGGCCTCAAATCTGAATCAATTCTGTCCCTGCTTCCTGAATATTAGGATTACAGGTGTGAGCCACCATGCCCAACTTTCATAGGCATCTTTAACACTCTTCTTCATGTATCTTTGGCTGTCCTGGAACTCACTCAGTAGACCAGGCTGGCCTTGGGATCCACCTGCCTCTGCCTCCCAAGTAGCACTACCACCTGGCTACCACTCTGTTCTTAAGTAGACTGATTTATAGCTGAAAATTGAAACATGCTTGTAGAATTAGCACTAGCCTAAGAGTGTAACTGTAATGTGCTCCCTAATGGAAAAGAGAAAACTCTGTTAGCATAACTAGATAAAGAAAATAAGATGCTGTGGCTCAAAAAGGTATCCATCAGGTGCAGGGAATGTTTTGAGAGCTGGTCATGCAGTCACAACAGTTTTGTGAGAGTTCTTCTAAATAGTATTCCATAAGGAAGCTAATGCCCCTTTCACCAAGGACACATAGCCACCTTCCTAATGCCTCACCAGAGGCTGCTGCCTGAGCTCCCTTCACACATTTCTTCCCTGTAACTTCCCTTTGTCATGAGTGGCAACTGATTCCCAAAGTATGAGATTCTCCCCTACTCCTGCTGTCAGTCAAGGACTCTGACTCTGGATAAGCCAGCTGCAGATACTATACTACTGCCCAGCCCAAATGGTCTAGAATTGTTTTTCTGAAATCAACAAACCATCAGCTAAAGTCACTGTGGCAAGTCTACAAGTTATCATCGCTGCTATCAAAATCTGGATCACAGAGCAAATTCTTCCCTGCCTTCTTAAACAAAGGCGGCTCTGGGATTTCGAGGCTGAGGTCAGTGAACCAGTTTATCTGCTGCTCCCCCTGGAAACTGCTGAAGCTCTGAGTAGACTGCAGGCGGTTCCCTTGTGCTGCCTTTTCCGTCTTACTGGTCTTCGCTGTTCCTTCCAAATTATGACAGGCTGACTTTGTGGAGCCTCTTGGAGCCAGCTGACGCAAGAGGGGCCCTTGTGGGCTAGAAACTGGAGACTGAGAACTGTGATGCTTAGAGACAAAAGCACATTCCTTCCTTGGGGTCTGTTCTTGCTTCCTAGCTAAATACCTGCCTCTCTTTGACTTCCTGGATGGCTGCTTCTTGCTTTTCCTCCCTTTTCTGCAGGTTCCACCCTTCTGTTCAGTTGCTGACTGTTCAAATGAGTCAAAAGAAAACATGCTTTGGGTTTCATTTTTGGGGCAGATATTCTTAACTCTGGTTTCACTCTTATTAAAGCCCAGCTGAGAAGTTTCTTGGGCAATTTGATCCCGGTCACTGGCCACCTCCTGGCTTGGGAGGTTAGAGCAGTGGTTGCTGAGGCTCCTGGTTGTCATAACCCAGCTCTTGCAGTAAATCTTATTCTTTACATGCTCATTTCCTCTATGGGGCCCATCCGCTGGCAATGCAGCCTTTTGAAAACCATCACTCTCTGCTCCTGCAAACTTCCCAGGCCTCTGGAAACTCTTGCTGGGATTCCCTGCAAGAGACACCTGGGCCTGCCAAGTAGCTGGCTCCTCAGAGGGATATTTTTCCTGCATAGTAAAACGGGGGCTCTGAGCCAGAGACGGTGAGGTCTGGGAGGTGCTGTCTTTCAGATGCTGGGCCACCTGAGACACAGAGGCAAATTTTTTCAGCTCCTCTAGGATACTAGGCACATTGAGTTGGCCCAGGTTCTCACAAAGCTGCTGGAAGTTATTACTTTGCTGGGCAACTAAAACTTCAAGGTTCTTGAGGTTGGATTTCATCTCTATAAAATCTGCTTGTCTCTGGGAAAAGAAGTGAAAAAGAGAAGATGATGTACACAGTAAAATGTGAGAAAAGATGTGCATGTAATAGCTCTTAGATGGCTAAGTCAAGAAGACTAAACTAGCAGGCGGGGGCTAGAGAGATGACTCAGTGCTTAAGAGCACTGGCTACTCCTGTTGAGGACCCAGTTCAGTTCCCAGAACCCACATGTTGACTCACAACCATCGTAACTCCAGTTCCAGGGGATCTGATACTTTCCTCTGTATCATGTATATGGGAACCAGCCATATACATGGTACAGAGCCATACATGGAGGCAAACACACACACAAACACACACACACAAAATAAATGAGTCTGAAAATAAAAATTAAAAAGAGGATTAACATGTATCTGAGGCTAGCTTAGGCTACATAGTCAGTTCTAAACAGCCTGGGCTATAGAAGGAAAACCCTGTCTCAAAAGATAAGAACAAAAAGAATGTGAGAACCAACAGTCACACAGTAAACACAGCTACACTATGAGCAAGGCCTGGGTACACATCCTGCTGGGGAACTCTGAGGGTAGGCTATATCCTGACTTAATGGAGAAACAACCATCCTGGTCTTGGGTCTTGGATAGAAATCTCTTACACATTTAAGTGTCCCTCTTGGTCTTAGAGGCAAAGCTGAGAGCACTCATGGGCAGGGGCATGCATCTAGTCTTGGCTACTCAGGAGTCTGGGGCAAGAGCACTTAAGTCCGTTACCTCAAGATGAGCCTGGACAGCGAAGCAAAACAAGAGCTTGGCGTTTATACTCACAGCTTCAGATCTCTTCCGTATCTCTAGGATGGTCTGCTCCATACTGCCTTTTTCCTGTATTGCCTCAACCATCAGGTCATGCTGGACCCGTGCAGTCTCTTGAACTAAATACAAAGCAAAGACAAAGTTCTTCCTAAGGACTGCTGACGAGCATCACCTTCTCGGAGCACAGCAGTGGGAAGGCAGGAGCTGGGTAACAACATAGCCCACCACATTTTACATGGTCTCTGCTTGACTCAAACAGTCTCTCCACAAGCGCAGGCCTGCAATCTTTGCACTTGGGAAGCTGAGGCATAAAGAGTGCTATGAATTCTAGGTAAGACCATGTTTCAATTAGACAAACAAACAAAGCCTTTCCTCAAACTCACTGATATTTAATGACCACCTTCTTCCTATGTACCAAACACTAAATACACACAGACACAGACATTATATACAAATTGTTAGCAATCAGGCATTTCCACCAGCCTGCACTCAGGTTTGGGGCATAAAGTCGTCCGGCTACCCCAAGTCTCTCTCTCCCTTTCCCTTTCTGTCTCTGTCTCCCCCTCAATCGCTCTTGTTCTTTCTCTGTCTATCTGCCTGTCTGTCTCCATCTCTCCCTCATGTTTCCACTCCTAGACAGACTTTTGCTCTCCCCTAATAAACCTCTGACATTAGATCTGTTTTCCCTTTTATTTATTTTTCTGGGGAGTCTTTTATTTAAATTCACTTTACATTCCTATCATAGCCCTCCCGCCTCTCCTCCCAACCCCCTTCCCTAGTGGTCAGAAAAGGGAGCCCTCCTTACTAACCCACCCCATCACATCAAGTCCCATCAGGTCTGAGCACATCCTCTTCCCCTGTGGCCTGGAGAGGCAGCCCTGCAAGGAGGAAGAGATTAAAAAGAAGGCAACAGAGTCCATGTCAGAGACAGCCCCTGCTCCCCTTACTAGGGTATTCACATGAAGCCCCAGCTGCCTATCAGCTACATCTGTGTAGGGGGCCTAGGTCCAGTCCATGCATGGTCCTTTGTTGATGCTTCAGTCTCCACAAGCCCCTCTGGGTCCTAGTTAGTTGGTTATATTGTTCTTCTTGTGGATCTCCCTCCCCCTGCTTTTGGACAAGACTCCCTATGCTTTGCCCAATGTTTGGCTGTGAGCCTCAGCATCTGTTTCCATCTTATGCTGGGATGGAGCCTCTCAGAGGACAGCTATGTTAAGCTCCTATCTGCACACATAGCAGAGTATCATTAATAGTGTCAGGGGCTGGCTCTCTGCTATGGGGTGGGTCTCAGGTTGGGCCAGATATTGGTTGGACATTCCCTCAACCTCTGCTCTAACCTTGTCCCTGCATATCTTTGTAGGCAGGATAAATTTTGGCTCCAAATTTATGGGTGGGTTGGCGTTCCCATCCCTCTACTGGGAGTCCTTCCTAGTTAGAGGGTGTCTTCTTCAGTCTCCATGCCCCCTGCTACAAAGAGTCTCAGCTACAGTCACCCCCATATCCTCCCAGAAGCTACCCTGCTGTAGGTCTCCAGCTTGTCACAGAGATGCCCCCACCCACAGTTTCTCTTCTCTTTGCAAGTTTCTCTTCTCTTTTCTTCTCCCTCCCCAAGCCTGATCTCCACTCTTATTTCTCTCCTTGCACCCTCTCCTATCTTGTTCCCCCTCTTCAACCACTTCCACTGTCTATTCTATTTCCTTCTGAGTGAGATTTAAGCATCCTCCCTTGGGTCCTCCTTGTTACTTCCTTAAATCTTAAATCTCACTCAGAAGGGATGTTAGATGGGTTACATGGTATATTTTAGCAGCATATCTCGGTATAGGCTGTCAAAGGTACCTGTCACCTTTGTTGCTTATCCCCCTTCCCCCATTTTTCTCTCTCTCACACACACAAACACACTCACTCACTTTGTAGACCAGGCTAGCCTTGAACTCAAAGATCTGCCTGCCTCTGCCTCCTCAGTCCTGGGATTAAAGATGTGTGCCACTGTATCCTGCTACACAGTGTGGGGTTTTGTTGTTTTAAAAATTTTTGTTTTTCGAGACAGGGTTTCTCTGTGTATCCCTGGTTGTCCTGGACTTGTTTTGTAGACCAGGCTGGCCTCGAACTCAACTCACAGAGCTCTGCCTGCTTCTACTTCCAGAGCACTGGTATTAAAGGTGTGCACTACCACATCTGCCTCAGTGTTTAAAAGAGAGGAAAAAAGGGGAAAGAGGTAATTAATGAGAAATGTACAGAAAACTGTTGAATAATAGAATAAGTGCTATAAAAGAAAAGTATGACAAGTTTTAAAGTGCATCATTTCTTAATTTTTGTTTTTGTTGTTAGACAAGGTCTCTCATAGCCCAAGGATGTGATATTACCCAAGGATGACCTTGAACTTCTGATCCTCCTGTGCCTCTGTCCTGAGTACTAGGATTATAGGTGAATACCACTATGTCTGACTTTTTTTTAAGTGTGTGTATGTTGTGTGAGTGAGTACTGGTAAGTGCACACTATGGATTAAGTATAAAAGCTAGAGGATAACTTTCAGGAATTGATTCTCCTTCCACAATGGGTTTCAGGAATCTAACTCAGCCATTGGGATGACTTTACCTTCTGAGTCATCTCACTGCCCTACTTTTTTACTTATTTGTTCATTTATTTATTTTTTTGTAGGGGGGGGTGGTTCTAGACAGGGTTTCTCCATATAGCCCTTGCTGTCCTGGAACTCACTCTGTAGATCAGGCTCAAACTCAGAGATCCGCCTGCCTCTGCCTCCCAAGTGCTGGGATAAAAGGAGTGTTCCACCACTGCCTGGCATTTACTTATTTCTTGAGACAGAGTTTCACTATATAGTTCTGGCTGGCATAGAATTTACAAATATCTGCCTCAAGAATGCTGGGATTAAAGACATGAACCACCAGAACTGGCTGTTTTTTGTTGCTGTTGGAGGTGGTAGTTTTGTTTTTGTTTTTGAGACAGAGTCTTATGTAGCCCATGAAGGTAGCAGTATTTAACACAAGACCAAGTTCTCAGCACAAAGATTTATTTGTCCCACAGGGACAAAGGTGCAAGAAGTAAGAGACAAAAACAAGACAGGAGATAGAGGACTAAGGAGAAATGGAAGGAACAAGAATAGGGGGAAGGGATATTTGCACTGGAGGGACAAAGGACTGTCTCTGGATAGAGAGGAAACAAATGTGGCCCATAGATAAAAGGCAAAAGGCAAAAGGTGAAACCTCTTGTTAGGATGAGGTATTTAATTTTGATTGGACAGGTTAATTAGGACAGCCAAAAGGGGGCTTTTGATTGCTAGACTTCAATAGTTTGATAGTTGGACCTTGGTAGTCAACCTCAGGAGAGGAAGTGGCCAAATAAAGGAATAGACATTGGTGGCTAGTAGGAATGTAATATAATGTTTTTTTTTTAGCAAGGAAAAGGGAGTCAGGGGAGGGTAAGGCCTGCCAGAGCCATGTTTGCAATGCTCAGGCTGGCTAGAGTCCCTTTAGTCCAGGCTGGTTTCAAATTCCCAAGGCTGTCCTGAATCCTCCTGCCTCTATCTCTCAAGTGCTGGAATTACAGGCATTTTTACACCATACCCAGTGAGAGTATAACATTTAAATCTCAGAATAGAGCCAGTCTTAGAGGTGCATACCTTTAAAAGGCACTTCCAAACATAGCACACTCCACTTTTCTGTATTTAAAACTACATGGGACAGAAATGGTGGCTCATACACAATATTAGCTTTTAGGACGTCAAAGGACGAGGATTGCCATGCTTTTGAGATCAGCCTTGATGCCACAGTGAATTTCAGTCTCGCCTGTGCAAGAGTGAGATCCTCTCTTTTAAAAAATAAAGTTATGCCAGGCAAGGTGGTGCACAACTTTAATCCCTGCACTTGGAAGGCAGAGGCAGATGGATCTCTGAGTTTGAGGCCAGCCTGGTCTACAGAGTGAGTTCCAGAACAGCCAGGTCTGCACAGAGAAACCCTGTCTCAAAAAATCTAAAAAAGAAAAAAGAAAAGTTATGTCTGTGGACATGGGGACTGCAAGATGGCACCGCTCATGCACCTGAAGGAGAAGATGCTCATGGAAGTCAAACTTGGGGAGCTGCCAAGATGGATCTTGTGCCACTGCAGGAGCCTTTTGGAGAGGTTATGACTGGTACAAGTACATGACGTTTGGAAAGGCAGCATCAGTTAACATGTTGCTGGCTGCCTATGTGGTTTTCAGCTACTGCATTTCTTACCAGGAGCTCAAACAAGCGGTGCCGGCAGTAGCACTGATGAGGAGGTGCCACGGACGGCACTGCACAACTGAGCAGAGCTGCCTGTCCCACCCACGAAGAACTCAACTGTGGCTGAGATCTAGTGCCCAATAAAAGCTGACTGGTTCAAAAGAAAAGAAAAGTTACTATTACTATTACCATCAGCTCCCAGCTCTGCCAGCACTTAGCAATTCTTTTTGTTTTTCAAGACAGGGTTTTCCCGTGTAGCCCTGGCTGTTCCTAGAATTATCTCTGTAGACCAACCTGGCCTCAAACTCAAGAGATCCTCCTTCCTCTGCCTCCTGAGTGCTGGGATGAAACGCATTAGATGACAACAGTGAAGCGTGAGCCGTCACCTGCTCCCTGCACACCTTCAGCTTACACAGCCATGGAAAGCTGAAAGAGTACTTGACTAGGACTCACAAAGGGTCACTCTACCACACTGCACAAGGAAGCAGCCTCATTTGCCTCTGTTCTCAGCACTGCTACTTCTTGTGAGGGTAACAGTTCCAGTTCTAAGGCTGCTAAACAGATGTACAGTTGCCCTGTGTGTAGGGTGCCCACATTACAAGTCAGTAGATAAACAGTACAGGGCTTCTTTGCAGACAGGTGAGAATTATTTTATGAGCCATACAAAGGCACTGGTTTTTGTAAATCATGAGTAATTCGTCCCATGGCATGGGAATAAGCTGACTTGAATTAGTTTAAAATAAAAAATAAGCAGAGAAATGCAAACAAGTACAGATGCACAATCATCTATTTTTCTTAGAATATAGTAATTCTAGAGAAGTATCTAGCCAAAAAGAATGTGTGTTGACTGTTTATAAAGGCATTCACCTTCCTACAAATCACTTAATTGGTGTTGGAGGGGGTTTGCAAACCTCATACTATAATTGACATTGAGACCAAAGCGATTCACCACAAAACAACTCTCACTGAAATCAAGGCAGTAAGAACTGAAGTATTTCTAACTCCTGAGGAGGAGTATGTCTGTAGACAGCACAGCCGGCAGGCCATGAGAGACTCGAGGCTGCTGGCTCATTTCAAGCATGTGGTGAAAAGGCTGGCAGCGATACCGTATCCTGAGACAGCAAGAGTGCTGAGGAGAGGAGCATTACTTCATGAAAGCCAGCATGGAATCAAAGTGTTGGCAAGACTAGAGAGATGGCTTGGTTTAAGAGTACTCCTGCCTTTCCAGATGACATGGATTCGATTCACAGCACCTACACAGCATGGTGGTTCACAATTGTCTGTTTCTCCAGTTCTAGGGGACCTAGCCACATTCTAAAAGTCTGAAATACCTTATTAAGTTATTTACATACTTTATTTACATCCTGATTTCAGCGTTCTCTCCCTCCTCTCCTCCTAGTCCCTCTCTCTCAGTTCCTCTGTGATTTTTAGCCTGGTCATTTAGCAGATCCAGGCCAGCCAGGGCTACATAGACAAACAAACAAACATAAATAAATAAATTTAATAAAATGAAAAATATTGCACAAAAGTTTACAAGCTGGGTGTGGTGAACATGCTTTTAATTGGAGGACTCAGGAAACAGAGGTAGGCAGATATTCGTGAGTTTGAAGCCAGCCAAAGACATGTAGAGAGATATCCTGTCTCAAAGTAAAGCAAAACAAAAATGAAAGTGTTGTTATATAGCAGTAAGTTCCAGTATACAGGCCTAACTTTATGCACTTACCCCTTCATCTTAAACAGTATGAAGTCACACCCAGGAAACCTGGCTAGGGTTTCCATTCATGACTCACATTCATGACTCACCAGTGCCCTCTGCTGATAACATTAACCTTGAGACAAAAACAAAAATTTAAAAAATAGGACTGAATGCAAAATTAACATGGGACACTCACATGTCTCAGCTATGGACTCCAAAGAATCCAAAATAGATTGGCTTCTTGAACTGAGATGTTTCTCAGACTTTTCCACAGATGTCTGCAACTAAGAAACAAAATTAAGAAAGAAATCACATGAGGACTAGAGAAGTGGCTCAGAGGTTGGGAAGATCAGCGTTTGATTCCCAGCACCCACAAGGTGATGGCTCATGTCTGTCTATAACTCCAGTTCCAGGGGATACAATGACTTCTTCCGGCCTCCAAAGGCACTGCACATATGTGGTCACAGACATACATGCAGCAAAACACTCAACATACAAACACAAATTTTAAAAATGGAAAAGAAAAAAAGAAAGCACAAACTGCTGTCTATTTTACTGAGTTGGAGAATTGTCATTTAATGATAAAACAGTAAAAATGTTATTCTACATGTGCTAAAGCTACTACAATGATTACAATTTGTTTTCTGAAAATTAGCTGTACCTACCTTGTTAATAACTTCTTGAAAATGAGAGACAAAGTTGTACAGCAACTCACTAGAGTTAAAAGAGAGGGAAAAAAGAAAGAGAATAAATCTTTGTGCCCTACTGAAATAGCATGTAATAACTGACTATGGCAGTGTTCATCTGGCATAGCACCAAAACACTGCTTGATCAAAGGTGGAGAGTCTACCTGATAAACCTCAGCTGTCCAGCTCAAACCCAAAGAAACTATTTTCCTTCCATCCTGCTGCTTCTTTATTTTTCTTTTATTTTTTAATTTTTTTAGATTTATTTATTTATGTGTCTGAGTGGGTTTTTTTGTTTTGTTTCGCATTTTTTCAAAACAGGGTTTCTCTGTGTAGCCTTGGCTGTCCTGAACTCACTTTGTATAGCAGACTGGCCTTGAACTCACAGCAATCCTCATGCCTCTGCCTCTCTGAGTGCTGGGATTACAGGAGTACACCACTGCACCCAGCTTCCAACTCTTAAAAATCTTTTCTGATTTCTTTACACCCTCACATATATACATATATACACACACAAACATATGTATATATATGTGTGTGTGTATATATCTTAAGATTATACTGTGAACTCTTATCTAAGGATTTATAATTTGCTTATTGGGTATAGTGTTTAAAATTTAAGTTCAAACTCTTGTTTAGAACACATATATGTGTGCATATGTGTTTGAAACATGTACAGAAACACAGATTTTTTGAAATAGCAACCATGTCAACCACATGGTTTGCAAACTGCCATGTAACTCCACCATCTTAAGATGACCATATGGTGTAAAGCACCAATTATAAAACCTCTTAGTCCTAATAACTCTCTATTATTTTCTCTCTTTTTATACTAAGAAAGTAATAAGTCTTATTTTAAATTGGTATGGATTTTTATAGAAATTCAAAATTATACTTTTTAAAATTTTATTCTTATTTTTTTGTCTGTATGCCTATGGGAGGGTCTTGGATCCTGGAGTTACAGACAGTTGTGAGCTGCCATGTGGGTGGTAGGAATTGAACCCGGGTTCCCTGGAAGACTGACTGCACTGAGCCATCTCTCCAGCCCTCAAAATCATACTTTTTATAACACACTGTATATATGATTCAATTCTACTTCAAAATGTTCTGTATCTGATGGCAAACTTTCAAGGTTGTAACAGTCTATTCAGATTTAAAACGTCTCTCTAACTCTTTATGCCTCTGCTAGTTCTTGGATGCATGAGTGAATGTTGTTTTGTTTTCCTGCCACCAGCTGCCTGTGCTCTGGGTTTACCTCTAGGCTTTTTGGCCAATTCAAATGTAATTTTAAAATCGGTTCATACTGTTCTACAGTATTGATGACTTCAGAAACAGGTTATTGCTCACCCTTTCTCATACCCAGGCATGTATTTAAAGTCCAGAGTCAAAATCAGGATATGGTTAAACTCATAATTTAGGGTTAGTAGTTGAAAGCTTGTGCTTAGATAATTTTACACCATGTGACATGATTCCAAAGATAATATATCCAACTTTTATGTTGGGATATATTAATTTTAGAGACATTCAATTGTTTACAATGTTAGAATTGAGTTACTATGCTCTATCTTCAGTCTCAAAGGTTAAAAATCACTGCCTTAAGAATATGTTTAGCACTGGGCCCGGTGGAGCACACCTGTAATCCCAGTACTAAGGGAGGCAGAGGCAGGTGCATCTCTGTGAGTTTGAGGCCAGAATGGTCTACAAAGCAAGTCCAGGACAGCCAAGGCTATGCTGTCTTGAAAAACAAACGAAACAAAACAAAAATGTTTAGCTTTGTTTTTAATAATGATACTTGTTGTAGTAAATAAAAAACGGGTGTTGGGCTATATAATGTTTATTAGCTCTAAGATCATCACGGCGGTATTATTTAACCTGCTATCACAAAAAATAAGACACAGACACCAGTTAGATTTATAATTGCCTTATTTACCTTGGGCTGGGGAGATATTTTACTTAAGCTGGCTCTAACCTCAATATCCATCTCCCAGCCCCCATCCAATGCCATCTACCTTAGTCCTTCTCATGTGGTCTACCTTCCACACATAATCTCATAGTATTTGTTTATATTTTTCATCTGGGCCTTTTCACGCCATTATTGGCATCTTTCCTCGCCCACATGGTTTCTTTTCCACCTAACCCATCATGGCGTCCTCCTTCCTCTCTTCCTGGCTGTTTCCCGTGATGCTCTCTGTCCTCTCCAAGCCTGAGAACCTTAGCCACATTTACTCCATTTGGCCCCGTCCAGGTATAGGCCATTTAAGAAGCCAATCAAGTATAGTGTTAGGCAGGTTTACACAAACAAGCGTGGGTGTACCCAGCAGGCAGTACCCAATCTTGAGGGCCAGTAATTAGCAGTACACCAGCCTCCAGCAGTTACTAATCTAACACAAAGTAACTAGAAACAAAGTTTGTCTGTTCTACTTGAGATAGATGTGGTCCTCACTTGCCTGCAGAATATGACATAATTATAGATCATAGCATTCTATTTTATGTTTGCAAGGTATAGTTTAAAAGCAGATAACTAAAGACAAAGATTGCTTAACTCACATATGCTAGCCCTCAAACCTGTCAGAGACCAGCTGAATATGGCACTTAATATGCTGAAGACACTCCCATATCTTAACAGTAGCTCCCAAGGTCTCTGCGAAGATATGGGCACAAATGATTTCAATCCTGGATTGTGGTATGCTAACCACCTGGAAGACTGCTTCCTAGACTCGCCTGCTGCTAGGACCTGGCCTGAACTGCAGACCAACTGGACACCCAGAGAGTTATTGTCTCATGTGGCTGAAAACAAGGTAAGGTCAGTCTCTCTCATGTTGTTCCTCCACAGAAAAGCCTCTCTCATCTTCTGTGCCTGATGGCCAGACTGCCTCTGCCCATGTTGACATGGAGATCCCTATAACCCGGGACAACTGTCTAGGTAGTAGACTACAGACTGACTAGTCATTTCAATTGATAAATAGGTTTATTTAGATGACAATTTACCCGTCTCAGGTCTCTGATCACATTGACAGCTAAGCTAATGATATCTTGACATCTAGAGAACAGTCAATTAGCTCCTTACCCCAACATAATCCATCATGTTAGCTTATTAGTCAATTCATTAGCTACTTAAAACTACTAACTACTAGATGTTTTATTTAAAGGCAAACAGGTTTGCCTTGCTCATAGACCACATGATAGAAGATAAACAGGCTTCAGATGCCTTCTTGGTCTTCCTAGAAATGCTACACTAGATCTAGACACAGTCTACCTTGTTACCAGACTCAGAAAAACAGGTCTCAGATAGAAAATTTTACTATTCCTTTAGCTAAAGGACAGTGACTGCTCCTAGCAGTCTCACCTGAATCTCATGATAAATAACTGAAGAAGAAAGATGTAAATCTTATGTAAAGCCTAAGAACACAGAAGCTTAAGTTGTAAGGACCTAAGAAAGTATTTAAAGGTCTAAGAAGGCGATTTAAGGTATATATATATACCTTAAAAAATGCTTCAGATTTCTTCCTGTTGCTAGGCTACTGTAGTATTACGACTGTTCAGAGCTTTGACGTTGTATTATACAATCCACTATCATGGTTCCAAGCTCAAGATTTTAAATTTCCTTTGGTTTGTCCTTTAAGCATAGACTTAAAAATGTTGCTCATTGTGCTATATTTATATACATCCAATCTTCTGGGTAGAGGAAAGGAGCCCCTCTTTCATGATATGTAGTCTACTGAAAATCAAGATAAAGTGAGCTTTTGCCTCTTCTATTTCACAGAAGGCTTCTGTCTTCCCTGAGCTCACCTTAGAGAGTGTTCATGCTGTTAACCCAGAATTCATTTCCCAAGCCTCTGTTATACGATGACATAAAGATGTGTGTTTACTGCCTTTTCTACAACCTGTATTTCACTGCAAATTACAAACAATGATGATGCCAATATGTTTAAAACTTACCTTCTTTGTAAACCTAAAAAGGACTCCTGTAAGCTACAGGGAATCCACCTGAACCCACCTCTCAGGTCAGATGGACCCCAGATAAGTACTGCCAATCAACAGGCTGTTTCCCACTTATTGTCTGTTTCAGAGGGTAGGATTCCTCCCCCTTTCCCTAGTTTCAGGACTCCCCTTCCCCAACTACTAAAACCGTGGATCCAAAAGTTTCAGATGTGCACCTAAAAAAGAATTTTCTCCCTGACCTAATTAACTTTTTCTTTTGCCTGTGTGTGTGTGTGTGTGTGTGTATGTGTGTGTGTGTGTGTGTGTTTGTGTGTATGTGTATGGGTGCCAATCAAGTCCAGGTGTTTCTTACATGCAAGCCACCATCAAAACAGCTACCCACAGGTGCTCCAGTCTAACCTTGAAGACTGCAACAGGTTGGGCCTACATTTTGCCACCAATGTTCTTAGCTCCTGGACAGCAAGTAAGACAGCCTCCTCTTCCCAGACATGGCCAACATTTCAGCTTTTTGCTCCCTGCTCCCCACCCCAATATTGATGCCCCAATGTCAGCAGGAAGTAGTCATGGACTAACACATGACCCCAATTCATTTATTATCAACAGAAGGCTGAGATGTTGTGTTTCAGAACCAGGACAAGCAGCTCCTGGTACTCCCAGCATTCCTTGGTTGTTACCTGCTGCAGGGCATAACGGCCATACCCTGCCCTCTACCCTGAACTTTCCAGGGTAGACCCCCCCCCCCCTTCAACATATAAATCTGGACATTTTGGTGCTCTTGCTTTTTTTCTCCCCCAGCCCCCTTGCTGCCAAGAGCTGCTTCTAATGAGCCTGCATTTCTATACTTGTCTTGCCTTAGCAGTCCAGCACCCTCACTCCTGCCTCCACACCTCTTCCTAGTTCCTCATTGTTTAATTAAATGAAAAGGGAAGAATGTTAGTTTATAGTTAGATTCCACTAGCCTGTCTTTCAGGGACCTAGCAGCCTCTGATGCCATCACCTGCTGCTACTGGCAGATGCAGTTCCTTGCAGAATAGTACTGCTTTGCCAAACCTAATGTATTTCAGTTTTATTTCTAAATACTTATTATTTTTATGTGTATGAGTATTTAGTCTGTATGTATGCATACAGTGCACCATGTGTGTGCCTGTGAAAGCCAGAAGATGGAAGTGGATCCCTGGAGTTTACAGTTATGAGCTGTGATGGGTGCTGAGAATTGAACCGGGTCCTCCACATGAGCAGAGTACTATTTTTTAATTGCTTCTTATTTTTTTTAACTTTTTATTGACTCCTTGTGAGTTTTACATCATGCATTCCAGTCCCACTCATTTACCCTCATATATGCCCTTGACCCTCCAAATAAAACACACACAAATAAGCTAACAAACAACAACACTTAACAAATATTGTGGAAGCTGTAGTAGGTCATAGTGTGTCCCACAGTATATGCCCCTCTGTTCACACATCTTCACCTGATCAGGGCCAGCAAGTGGCAAGAGACAAGAAGTGCATCACCCCAGACCCCAAGCCATCTAATGCCAGAAAAGTGGCAAGGCCAGCTCTCCTGCACTCTGGCCCTTGGGGCTGGCTCACCTGTGACCCCTCCACCAGGAACAGCTCTACTGTGCTGCCTAGACAAAATGCAGGGCCTGCGCTCCCTAGTGCTGCAGCTGAAAAGGGACAGGGCCAGCTCACCTGGACCCCTACCCGGGCCAGTTCTAAAGGCAGCAAATACTCTTGATGCTGAGCCATCTCGCCAGTCCCTCAGCCTTAGCAGAGGACTACACACTAGTCCAGGCTTGCAGGCAATTCCTGGCAGTGCTCTTGCCTCAGCCTTCTAAATGCTAAGCACCTGGGAGAAAGCTACCACATTTGTGTTGTAGGATATTTGATGACACTGTCAACCCTGAGACTGTGTACTTGAAAAAACTGTTTCTGGTTGTGGTGTGGCTCAGTCCTAGCACAAACCTTTAATCCAAGAGCTTTCTGTTTACTGTAAACAGGATTAAATAAAGCCAACCAGAGATCAAGAGGTGGAGCAAGCAACCAGATGATTGGGAGTGAAGATAGGAAAAAAACCATAGAGAGTGAGAGGAAGTCCAGAGGATGGATCTCAGAGGTACATAGGAACTAGACAGGAAGGACATTCAGTTAGAAAGGTTATTTAAGACAGTGTAGAGGAGAAGGGGCTTTTTTCCTTCTGGGACATCCGCTGAATAGGAAGGTTAACTGGGTACTTTCTCTGCCTCTCTGAGCTAGCTTTCATGCCAGCATCTGGCTTCAGAGTCTTTATTGGTGAAATTAAAGTTTGGGATTTTGTTTAAAAACAATATTTGGCTTCAAATTTTCTTTTTTACTTCTTCTTCTTTTGGTTATTCAAGACTGATTTCTCTGTGTAACAGCCCTTGCTGTCCTGGAATTCACTCTGTAAACCAGACTGGCTTCAAACTCACAGAGATCCATCTGCCTCTGTGAGAGGTGTGTGTATCCATGCCCTACCTGGCTTAAATTTTTATTTTATGTGTATGAGTGTTCTGCCTATATATATGTATGTACATCATGTGCAAGCCTGGTGTCCCCAGAGTCCAGAAGAGGACTTCAGATCCTCTGGAACTGAAGTTATGGATGGTGCTGGGAATTGAACCCATGTTCTCTAGAAGAGCAGTAATAGCTCCCCAGTCCTAGAGGAATTATTTTTTAATCAACTGAATAAAAAATTTCATATAGGTCAGCACTCAGGAGGCAGAGGCAGGCAGACCTCTGAGTTTGAGGCCAGCATAGTTTACAGGGTGAGTTCCAGGTCAGCCAGGGCTACACAGAGAAACCCTGTCTGGCAAAACAAACAAACAAACAAACAAACAAACAAACAAACTCTGTCCACGTCTAGCTGTGCATGGTGGCTCATGCCTTTAGTCCCAGCACTGGGGTGGAGGGGGGGGGTAATGGCAGAACATTGAATACTCGTTATTCAATGAATCTCTGGCCATTCTAAGTCAGCCTTGTCTACACCGTGAAACCCTACCTCAAAAAAAAAAAAGAGTAAAAAAATAAGTCTTAACTTTGACTTAAGAACTCACACATTCCACTGGACTGGGGATATTGTTCAGGGGTAGAGCACTTGCCTAATGTGTTCAATACCAGCAATACACAGATAAAAATTATGTACTACAGACTTGATCTCAAATTGATGTCATCTAATATCCTATGCTAATATGAAAAGATAAAAATCAGAAGGCAAATTTAGACAGAAGCAATATAATATCCTTAAATTTTGCATTTTTTAAAAAAAATCTAGTTTTTATTTTCCAGAGTCAAAATTATAATAGCTACATTCAAATCTACAAGTCACATTTTTTTTTTTTTTGAGACAGAGGCAGGGTTTGTTTGTGTAGCCTTGGCTGTCCTGGACTCACTTTTGTAGACAAGGCTGGCCTCAAACTCACATCAATCCACCTGCCTCTGCTGTCCTGAGTGCTGGGCTTAAAGGACTGCGCCACCACACAGGGGTCCAAGTCACATTGAAGAAGGCAAAGAATAATTGCTAGCTAGGGGTCAGGGCTCATTCTTATAACCACAGCACCTGAGAGTCTAAGGCGGAGTCTACAAATTTGAAGCTAGTCTGGGTAATACACTGAGGTCCTGTCTCAAACAAAAGCATATTAGAAGAATTAAAAAGCAAGAGTTTGAGCTCTAGGAAGACAGTTCAGTGAGTAGTGCTTCTTATGCAAACATAAGGGCTTGAGTTCTATCCCCAGCACCCATGGCACCCTTGTAATTGCAGGGTCTCAATAGCTGGCTAATCTAGCCTAATTAGTGAGTCCCAAGTCCCAGTGAAAGACCTTGCCTCAAAAACCAAGGCAGGGTGGGTGGGAAGACAGCTCAGTGGGTAAAATATTTGCCTTAGAAGAACAGGGTCTGAGTTTGTAGCCCAGCATGTACATAAAAGCCAGGCATGGTGATACATGTCTGTAACTCCAATGATGGGGAAATATGGATCAGAAGATCCATGGGACTTGCTAGTTAGTTAGTGTAAGCTGAATCCATGAGGTCAAAATTCACTGAGACAAAAATTAAGTGGAAAACAAAAAGGTGGAGAATGATTGAGGAAAACATCTTAAGTCCAACTCTGCTTTCCATGGACAAGCCCGCACACACTGTGATGGTCAGTTTCAGCTATCAACCTGACAAAATGCAGAATTGCCTGAGAAAGGAATCTCAGTAAGAAATTGTCCAGATTAAGTTGACCTGTGGGTTTATTTCTTGGTGATTGTCTTAATTACATTAATTGACATGGGAAAATTCAGCCCAAGAGTGGGCAGCACCATTCCGTAGGTGTGGGTCTAGGTAGGAAAAGGGAGAGAATATGCGTGTATGCATTGCTCTCTGCTCTCAAGCTGTGGATATGTTGTTATCAATTGTTTCCAAGTTCCTGATGGCTTGACTTCTCTACAAAGAGGAACTATAACCAGGAATTTTGAGCCAAATAAACTCTTCCTTCTTCAGGTTTTTTTTTTTTTTTTTTTTGGTTTTGTTTCTTGTTTATTTGATTTATTTTGGTTTTCAAGACAGGGTTTCTCTGTGTAACCCTGTCTGTCCTGGAACTCACTTTGTAGACCAGGTTGGCCTCGAACTCACAGAGATTTGCCTGCCTCTGAGTACTGGGATTAAAGGCATGCGCCACACTGCTTGGCTTCAGATTGCTTTTGTCGTGGTATTTTATCATAAATAGCAGCAGAAATGAAACTAATCCCCACACCACCAAAGCACAGAAAGTCAAGAGTGCTTTGCAGTTTTGTCAGTACCCAAACTGATCTGGAGGTAGAACTCACTATGTTACCAAAAATGATCTTGAACTCCTGACCCTCCTGCCTCTGCTTCCTAAGAGCTAGAATTACAGGTGTGTATCCCAACATACAGCTTGCAATGCTGTCCTTGTTTCTTCTTCTTCTCCTCCTCCTCCTCCTCCTCTACTTCTCCTTCTCCTCCTCCTTCTTTTTGTTTGTTTGACACAGGGTTTCTCTGTGCCTTGGCTGTTCTGGACTCATTTTGTAGACCTTAAACTCACAGAGATCTTCCTGCCTCTGCCTCCCGAGTTCTGGGATTACAGGTGTGCACCTGTAATCAAGGTGTAAACTCCTTGTTTTTCATTTAATATTTATTTTGTGCCAATAGGGAATAAACCCAGGGTCCAGGAATGCTAGGTAAGCACTCTCTATATATGTATACATGTGTGTGGACATATATGTGTGTGTATACACACACACACACACACACACACACACACACACACACACACTATGTGTATGTGTGGGTATCATGTGGGCATGCTACATGATACCCTTAACATGATACCCTTAAAACAAACAACAACAAGAAACCAAGTTAATCTTTATCAATGTTCAGGTACATTACCCAATCTACCAATGAACTGAGAAACAAATGTGTCTCAGGGCTGTGACATCCAGCTTCTGACCCAACCCTGGAGGCTCCTCGTTCTTGAGCCATCTCTCCCCTTCCTTCCACAGGCCTCTGTTCAGATTAAATTATGTATCACTGTCCCACTCTGGTTCTCTTTCTTCGCTTTCTATGGCAGATTTATGTGACCAATTAGCTGCCATAATAAATCAGTTTCTATATCTTTCTGTCACCCCCCCCCACATACTGTGTGCACTCATACATGTATGTGTGTACTGTGTGTAATACTGATTCTGTTTCTGTTTGCTATGCACATCCCTGACCAATACATGCTATTATACTGAAATTGTATTTTTTGATAAAATTTTTATTATTATTTATACAGTGTTCTGCCTACATGTGTACCTGCAGGCCAGAAAAGGGCAGCAGATCTCATTATGGATGGTTGTGAGCCACCATGTGGTTGCTGGGAACTGAACTCAGGACCTCTGGAAGAACAGCTAGAGCTCTTAACCTCTCCAGCCTGGACTATTTGATAATTGATAGTACATTGTGGTTCCCTCAGAAAACATGAGCTTTCTCACACTCTTAAACCATCTGAGTACCTGTCACATTTGTCCGTTGCCCTTCGTTTTTTCTCCTCAAACTGTTTCAAGAGTCCTTTTGATTTTCCAGCTGGCAAAGGAAGAGAAAATAAGCCTTCATCCTTTGTATCACCTCCAAATAACTGGGGCTTCGTCTGGTATTTTGTGAAAATACTAGGTTCATTCTGTTAAATGAAAAAAACAAAAAACCAAAAAACTCAACACCAAATTCCACACACTATTCTCTCTCTGATTATATATGATTACACAGAATCATACGTAAGCACCAATCATGTGGTTGAAAATAAAGCATGTTGTTTTCCCATTATTGTGCCTATCAAAAATTATACTTATAATAAAGCAACTTTCTAAGTTAATAGTTTCTGTCTTAACAGTGCAGATATATTAAAATTTCAGCTAAAATGGCTCAAAACCAACTGAATACACTTATAGGAAACAACAGAAAATTGTTTACTGTTTCTGAGAGGTGGTAATAAAGTTTCATATCAATATATTTAACTCAAATTATTATTTTTAGCTTCTGTTGAACTCAATGCCTGTTGATAACTTCCACATTGCCTAAGCAGTGCACAAACAGTGGTATGGAGAGCATTTCCTGCATTTCTATTCTTTTCGTTTTTTTGTTTGTTTTCCCAAGATATAGTTTCTCTGTGTAGTCCTGGCTGTCCTGGACTCTCTTTGTAGACCAGGCTGGCCTCAAACTCACAGAGATCTGCTTGCTTCTGCCTCCCTGAGTTCTGGGATTACAGATGTGTGACTCTGCACTCAGCCTCATTTCCTGCATTTCTTAAGCAAAACATGCTCTAAACATTCAGGAAGTACATTTACTCCTTTATAGCACTAGCATCAATTTTTGTTCTGATATCATACATATAATGAATTCTTTACTAACTTAAAGGTCTGAGCTAGCCTCCCTATTTGATATAGGCAAGTGTAAATATAAAATTAAATGTAGTTCTAGACCAAAAAAAAAAAAAAAGGTTAAAAACATTTGTGGTACATGGCTTGAATCCCAGCACTCAGGAGTCAAAGGCAGGAGGATAGCCTTAAAGTTTTAAGCAAGCCTGGGCTACATTATGAGTTCTAGGCTAGTCTAGGCTATAGAGTAAAACTCTGTCTCAAAAAAGAAACAAACAAAAACAGAAAAGCAAAATAGCAACAACAAAATCCCAGATTAAAAAAACAAATATCCCACGTCCTCTTTGACATGCAAATCCCAGGTTTATTTATTTATTTATTTTTAGGGGGTGAGAGGCATGGTTTTTTGAGACACTTTCTATGTGTATCCTTGGCTACCCTGGAATTGGCTCTGTAGACCAGGCTGGCCTCAACTCAGGGATCCACCTGCCTTTGTTTCCCCTGTGTTGGGATTAGGATGTGCCACCACTACCCACTGTATCCCAGTTTTGAATACTTATCTATATTTATATGTGGGTATGAGTGTGAGCACAGTCTATAAAACAAGAAAAGGTAATTTCCCTTTTCTACAAAGATGTACCTCTCATCTTTGGCTACACAGTTAGTTTGGCGATTCAGTAAGTCTGAGGCCAGCCAGGTCAACATAAAACTTTGTCCCAGAGGCAAAGATACAATAAAAAGTAAGTCCAATGGCCAAAAAAACAATATGAAAAGCCTTGGGAACCCTGCTGGGAAGGAGTTCAAGTGGGAAGGGAAAGTAGATAAGAGAAAATACTGGAAAGTCAAAGTACATTATACATATATGAAATTGTGAAAGGATAAATGTTTTAATTTTTACTTCTTTTTATGGTGTTTTGCCTGAATGTATGTCTGTGTCAGATCATCTGGAACTGGAGTTACAGATAGTTGTGAGCTGCCACGTGGGTCCTGGGAACTGAATTCAAGACCTTTGGAAGAACAGCCAGTGTTTTTAACTTCTGATCCATCTTTCCAGCCCCTATTCATTTAATCTTGTATGTGTACGTGTTCATGTCTATGAGTGTGGGTATGTGTGTGCCATAGCACATGTGTGAAGGTAAGAGGACAACCAAAGGTGTTGCTGAGCCCTTCCCATTTATTTGAGGAACAGCTGAACTTTGTGTTCACTACTGCATATGACAGGCTAGCTGGCTGCTGGTTTCCTGTCTCTCCCTCACATCTCCTTGTATGAGTGGTAGGATTATAGATATGTGCTACAATTCCTAGATTTTACATGAGTTCTAGGAATTCTAACTCAGGTCTTCAAGTTTATATAGCAAGTGCTTATCCCACTAAGTCATCGTTATAACTTCCTCTATTCCTATCTTACAAAAGCAGCAGGTATGATGATGCACATCTTGAATCCCGGCACTGTCAAGGCAGAGGCAGATGGATATCTATGAGTTTGAGGCCAGCCTTGTCTACCTATTGAGTTCCAGGCTAGCCAAGGCTACATAGGGAGACTTCTTCTAAGAAAATTACACAAATCCATCTTAGAAAAGCTATAGATTCTCGTGATTTTTCACAATAGTATGATTTGGCTAGAAAACACGAATACTTGCCTCTCCCTAGTAATGATCAAGGGACTGACACTATTCTATATTGTTTTGGCAATAAAAGAAACTGTACATATAAGTGGTTTTTTTTTTTAATTTCAGACCTTTAGATTAATTAAATAAGTTGTGAATCAGCTGGGCATCCTTTTAATCCCAATAGTCAGGAGCATGCAGGTAAATCTCTAATTTTAAGACCAGCCTGGTCTATATAAGGAGTTTCAGGACAGCCAATGCTATACAGTAAGACTCTGACTCAAAAACCAAACAAACAACGATAACAACAAACACCAAAACATAATCAATCAAGCATTAACCCATTTAGTAATTTTCAGAGTACAATTCTAAAGTATGTTCATGTTCCAATAGAAAATGTTTTAGCTTATCTCCATAAAAACTATGAAATATGTACAGAGAAATTTCAGAAATCAGAGCTAGGGGTGGTGTTTTACACCTATAATCCCATCAGTCATGAGGCTGAGACCAGAGGATGCAGAGTCCAGACTGGCCTACACAGCAAGGTTCTGTCTCATAAAAATTTTTTTTAACTAGCTGAAAGTCAGACTCACATCTACAGAACTCTGTTGAGTCTGTTTTGGGTGTCTTGAGTAGGCATCAGCATCCAAGGATGCTAACAGAGTCTCTGAATTTTCTGGACAAAACTGAGATCCAAAAAGGAACTGGGAATCACTGAGAGAACAATCAGTCTGATTGCTCTTCCAGTTAGATGGTTTAGTGACCCTGAAACAAAGCAAGAAAAACATTAAGTAAGCAAACATCCTGAACAAATGAAATCATAACTCACAGCTACTATTGCAGAATATTCTGGGAGAGTGCCTGTTTGTTTTGTTGTTGTTGTTTTGAGACAGGGTGTCTCTATTATGTAGCTCTGGGTGTGTCTGTTTTGACCTGCTAGTTAATATGCTCTCTTCAGTGCCTTTATGACCTATGAAGAACCATAAGGAAGTTATGAACACCCCATCCACATTTTGATTCTGACAACTGGAGAACAATCAAATGGAAATTCAAACAGAGAGGACTGACACCACTATTCCTTCCACTTTGTTGTTGTTGTTATTCTTTGAGACAGGGTTTCTCTGTGTATCCTTGCCTGTCCTGCACTCACTTTTTAGACCAGGCTGGCTTCAAACTCACAGAGATCTGCCTGCCTCTGCCTCAGCATTCTCTTTCTTATGAAATGAATCTGGGAGCTGGAGAGGGGCTGGAGAGATGGCTCCAGTGCTTAAGAGCACTGACTGCTTTACCAGAGAACCCGGGTTCAGTTCCCAGCCCCCACATGCCAGCTCACAACTGTCTTTAACTCTAGTTCCAGGGGATCCAACACCCTCATACATGTGAGCCAAACACTAAATGTACATATAAGTAAATAAATTATAAAAAGTAGAACTTTATTTACAGTGAACTCTAATACATATCATTTTGTGAATTTTAAAACCTACATAAGTACATGTTTGTAAGAGAGCATTTGGAAAGTGAAAGAAGGGAGCAAGACTAGAGAGAGGAGTCATAACAATACAAGAGCCTGAGCTGTGTGTGGCTTTAACCCCAACACATACCTTTAATTCCAGCACTCAGAAGGCAGAGACAGGCAGATCTCGGTGACTTCAAGCCTGGTCTACATAGTGAGTTTTAGGACAGCCAGGACTATGTACAGAGACTCTGCCTCAAACAAATAAGCAAACAAACACAAACAAACCCACAAAGCCTGGCATAGTGGCTTTAATAATTCTGGCACTTAGGAGATGGAAACAGGAATAAGAGGAGTTCAAAGCTAGTCTTTGCTATATAAAACCTTAACTCAAAAAACAAGAAATGGGCCAGTAGGATGGCTCAGTAGGTAAAAGTGCTTGCCCCAAGCTCAGTCCCTGAGACACATGGTAAGAGGAAAGAACCAACTCCCATATGTTGTCCTCTGATCTCTATATACATGTTGTGGCATTTTCATGGTCACATATACATACAAACAAACACACATACATACACAATAAATGTAGAAATGCTTTGTTTTAGTTTTTTGAGATAGGATTTCTCTGTGTAGTCCTGGCTGTGCTGGAACTATGTAGGCAAGACTGGCCTCGAACTCAGAGATCCACCTGCCTCTCCCTCCCAAGTGATGGAATTAAAGATGTGGACCACCTGCCTGGCAAATGTAGAAAATTTTAACTTCAAATTAAGCCCTACTTCGGACTGAATGCTTATATCTCTGAAAATTCTTATATTGAAGCTGTATCCTGTTCGTGTAACTTTTGAAGATGGGCATGATCAGAGAAATTTGGTTTATATGAGGTCAAAGATAAAGCCTTTGTGATATGATTAGCATCTCTAGTGAGACACCAGCTGAAGAGATGACTCAGGAGTTAATAACACTGAGTGTTCTTCCAAAGGACCTGAGTTCCATTCCTGCCTGGCACTCACATGTTAACTTACAGATGTGTGTGACTCCAATCCCAGGGAGTTATACTTCTGGTCTCTTTGGGTACTACATATACCTGGTACACAGACATACATGCAAGCAAAACACCCATGCATGATAAATTATTTAATACCAGAGAATTAGAAAAATGCTCAACATTCCATTCCCATCTCCAACCCTAGACCATTGTCTAAAAACAGAAAGAAGGGTGCTAGCCTGGAAGAAAGACACACTGCACCAGAAACAAACTACAGTGACACCTGATGCAACACTTTCTGCCTCCAGAATTGTGAAAAGATACATTTCTCACATACACTCTAAGGTATTTTGTTATAGGAAGTTGAAGAGGTGAATGAGGCTAACAAGGTCCATATGTAATGGAGATTATAACCACGTGTGGTGATGCATGACTTTAGCTTCAGCACTTGAGAGGCGGGGGTAAGGTGGACCTCTGTGAACCCAAGACTAGCATGATCTATACAAAGTTTCAGGACAGCCAGGGCTACAGAGTACATTCCTGTTTCAAAACAAGCAAACCATATAGTGGAGGTTATGAACAATTTAGATCTGGCCAAAAGTTGTTTTTGAAGCAGATGCTGCTCTTGTATCCCTTTAGTGTCTATCTCTTCTTTTTTGCTTCCCAGTTAAAAGCCGAATTTATAACTTGTTTCCCATGAAAGTATGTCAGTGTTTAAACACTGTGTATGAAGATGGCTCACACTTTTAATTCTAGCATTCAGGAGGGTGAAGCACAAAGTTCGATACAAGTTAGAAACCAAAAGTAAGTTCCAGGACAGGTAAGAGTGCAGTGTGAGATCCTGTATTGAAACCCAAACCAAAATATGCATCATATCTGAAGAGCTAAAACTGATACTGATACTGATACAAACACACTTGAACACAGTAGACAGAACCCACTACAAAAAAAAAAAAAGTGGCCAATGTGGGGACTGGAGCCACGGCTCAGCATTAAGCACTCATGGCTCTTCTAAAGTTCAGTTCTCAAAGATGCCCATAACTCCAGTGCCAGGGCATCTGTGTGGGAGCACAGACACACACACTTGTACACACATGCAATGTATACATACCCAGACACATGCACAGAAATAGTAGGCTGACAAACCATTAAAGCACACAGCCTCCAGGTTATATTTTGTTTAGGACTGAGGATCATTTTATCAAGAGTTTGAAAGAAAAACAGGACAGGTAAGCTGTAGATCAGTAACTGCCAGGAGGGAAATGGAGATAAGACAGACACAAAGCTGTGCTTTTGTAGTGTAGATCAGCAATGGATGTCTACAAGCCTCTGCAGAAACTGAGGTAAGGGAGTGTTTCAAAGAGTGGAAATGTCCAGAGTGTTAAGACAAGCATGCTAAGGATTTTGGCTGATATCTTAAAAGATAGGAAGAAAAGCAAGAGTTATGTCTCCTGGGTTAAAATTCAGAGAATCTGGCAGATTTAGCAATAAATCTGCAAGCAAATGCCACCGCCAAGTTTTGCAGGTTTTGGGTTCTGGCGATCTAACTCAGGCCTTGCGCAATTCTAACAGTGAACTACATCTCCTGCTTTAGTCTTCAGGTTTTTATTGAAGATATCTCAATAACAATATTATTATCAGCTGGGGGTAGTGGCACATGCTTTTAATTTAAAAAATGTTATTTAAAATATCATTATTATGGTTTTTTTTTTTTTTTGGAGACTAGGTCTCTTTATGTAGTCCTGGATGTCCTGGAGCTTGTTATGTAAACCAGGTTTGCCCCAAACTCGCCTGCCTCTTGCCTCCCAAGTGCTGAGATTAAAGACTTTGTTCAGCCACATCTGGCTGCTGATTTTACATGTATACACATGTGCCATGGTACATGTGTAGAGGTCAGGGGACAGCTTTACAAGTCAGTTCTCTCCTTCCACATGGGTTCTAAAGATCAAACTCAGATCATCAGATCCACATAGCAAGCACTTTTACCTGCTGAGCTATCTCACTTGAACCAGGCACCGTGGTGCACACCTGTAATCCCAGCACTCAGGAAGGCAGAAGCAAGTGAATCTCTGTGAGCTTGAGACCAGCATGGTCCAACAAAGCAAATCCAGGGCAGCCAAGGCCACACAGAGAAATCCTGTCCTGAAAAAAAAATTATTGTGGAACATGAGGAAACATACCTTTAATTAAAACACATAAGTGATACAGGTGGTGGTAGACACCTTTAATCCCAGTCCCTACAAGGCAGAGTCAGGTAGATTGATGAGTTCAAGGCCAGTCTGGTCTACAAAGTGAGTTCCAAGACAGCCAAGACTACACAGAGAAACACTGTCTTGAATAACAAAAAAAAAAAAAAAAAAGTAAATGTACAAAACAAACCACACCTTTTCCAAAACACCAAATTTAAAGTAATTAAATAGCATATAAGTAAATATTGTAAGCCAAATAAATATTATCAATACAAAAGTTTGTTCATATGTTGATATGAACAAACATTATTAAAAAAAAGAAAGAGTTCAGGATAGGGATGAACAATTATTTTACCCACAGAATCATTTTCTGAGGTTAGCTAAAGCTGAGATGTACATAGCATATTAAAATATAGTTGCATAATTATTATTCAAAAGAGCTCTCTGCCTTTCCTCTTAGGATAAAGAAAATAATTAGCAAGACTTGAAAAAAGAGGTGGGGGAGAAAGCCCAGTTCTGTGAGCCTGCTTAAATCATAGAGGATTATTTCTTAAAGCAATGATAGAATTAAACAAAGCTAAGTTTAACACATGTCCTTTAGTTTTGTTTTTCAAAACAAGGTCCTCTGTGTAACAGCCCTGGCTATCCTGGACTCACAGAGATCTGCCTGCCTCTGCCTTCAGAGTGCTGGGATTAAAGGCATGTGCCACCTCAGCAGGCAGCCATAAACCCTTTTTGAGAAACAAAAAGAGTAGATTTAAAATTATTTACTTATTTTATAAGTGTGAGTGTTTTACCTATGTGTATGTATGTATACTTTGTATGTGTTTAGTGTCTGAGAAGTTAAGGGTGTCAGATCCCTTGAAACTGGAGTTACAGATGGTTGTGGATGCTGGGAAATAAACCTGGGTCCTCTGCAAAACAAGAGCTCCTAACTAGAGCCATCAGTATAGCCCCTAGATTTTTTTTTTAAACCAAATTGGCAAATGTCTTTGGGAAAGTGTCGGGAAGGAGAAACTATCCACCAACTGAGAAATGGCGGGTTTACTTCAGGCCGGTGGCAGTAGTCTAAAAGCTCAGTGGACAGTAGATCCAGCATTCACAGTATCCCCACGGGTCTTTGCAGTAGCTGGGGTGGCTCTTCTCTTCATAACAGCTACAAATTACATTACATAAACCAATAAACATATGAACACTGGACTGATTTCCTTTTTTTTGAGACAGGGTTTCTCTGTATAGCTCTGGCTGTCTTGAAACTCACTCCATAGACCAGCCTGGTCTTGAACTCATAGAGATCTGCCTGCCTCTGCCTTCCAAGTGCTGGGATTAAAGGTATACATACCCCACCTGGCCCACTGGACCGATTTTTTTTTCTTTCTATTCCAAAATAGAAATTGCTTGAAGATGCCTACTTCAGGTCAGTTTCAAGATTTGTGGTTCTGTATCTGATCCTCAGAGATCCTGCCCCAAGCCTGAATGCTGTATATAACTGATACAAAGGGCTGCATTGACACTACCTGTGGGTGTGTCTGTGTGGAAGTTCAAATACATATTCATGTGGGTGAAGGTGCATGTATGTGTATGGGTGTATGGGTGTGTGTGAGTGTGTGTGTGTGTATGTATGAACAGCATCTATGTGGAGATCAGAGGACAACATTGAGTGCTTGTCCTCAGGTATTTTCCACCTTTTGTTGGAGACAAGATCTCTCACTGGAACTTCGCCACACAGCCCAAGCTGGCTGGCCCGTGAGCTTCCAGAGAATCCTCCTGTCTCCATCTTCCATTTCATCTCCATGGAATATCAGGCACATATCACTGTCTCCAACTTTTTTACATGGATCTGGGGATTCAAACTCAAGTCTTCACACTTAACAGGGAAACACTTTTACCCTCGGCTATCTCCCCTAAACTGACATCACGTTTCCAATCAGAAAATAAGTCGGAGAGCAGGGCACAGGGGCATACGCCTGTAATTGCGGCACTCAGGGAGTTCTGAGGCAGGCAAATCTTTGTGAGTTCGAGGCCAGCCTGATCTATAATGTGAATACAGGACAACCAAGGCTACACAGAGAAACCCTATCTCAAAAAAAAAAAAAAAAAAAAGAAAAAGAAAAAGAAAGAAAGAAAAATAATAAGCAGGGGGAAAAAGACACGCTTAGAAAGGAACCGCAGTAACAGAGAAAAGGAGCAGTAATCTGAATGCCTCTGGCACTGTTCAACAGCCATTCTAGCTATAGAAAGGAGACTTTCTCCAAAACCAATAAAACCACAGGACTTAAATATCAAAGAAAATAACCAGGAAACTTACCCAGAGCCTGAGGGAATACTGAACATCTCTTTGATATTCCAGACATTAAAATTCATTGTTATGCTTCTATTAGAAAAAACAGAGAAATATTCAGAAGATTAATACATTGTCAAAGGTACTAATTACATGTAGGAACATTCCAGCAGTTTTGTTCTGATCCAATTGGTGAAAATTTCCACTACTTAATGTGCCAGAAATAGACCTTTCCTATTACCAAATTGCACTGTGAGCCAGAAGTGGCAATTACACAGCTGTAATCCTAACTTCAGGAGGTGGATGCAGGAAGATTGGGATGAGTTCAATGGCCAACAAAAGCTTCATAGGGAGTCTGGTAGAGCTCTGTGAATTTGAAGCCAGCCTTGTCTACACAGTGAGTTCCAGCCCAGCCAGAGCTACACTGTACAACTCTGTACAACTCTGTGAGAGTTGGCTGAAGAGATGATTCAGCAGTTTATATAGCCCTGGCTACTTTTCCAAAGGACCCAGATTTGATTCCTAGCACCCACAGGACTGGCAGCTCCCAACCATCAGTAACTTCAGTCCTATAGGACCCAACACTCTCTTCTGGCATCTCTGGGCACTTATAAGAATGAGTTGAATACAGACAAACATGCAGGCAAAACATGCAAACCTGTAACAGTGCCAGTCCTTAGTGGTACACCATAGTTCCAGCATTAGAGAAGCGGAAGCAAAAGAACAGAATTCAAAGCCACCATAGACTACATAGCTAAAGGCTCTCTACAAGGGCAGGGGAGCATATTCTTATTATATTTTAACTATATCTAAGGACACATGGGCTAATTTCCTCAACCTGAGCTTGTCTTTGGTGCTTTTACTTGCCAGCTATTAACATTAAGCTTTTAACTTAACAGAGAATAGAGGGATCTTATCAGCCAAACCTTCTCCTTGATGATACTACCATACATGACTAATGACGAGATAAGTCCTTCCGACACGCCTATCCACCAAGGTAAACGGCCTCTTAAATGCACACAATTGAAACTTTCAAGTGCAGGGTTCCCTCTTTAATAAGAAAGCAAGAGAAGAAAAGTGGAGCCAAGTTTTCCACAAGAAGGGTTCTGGCCAGAATGAATAAAGGAAGACACTGTGTGAAAAGAGGGTGGTCCCAGGAGCCAGAGTGACTCCTCCCTCTGACCCCATCCAACAATCTTGAGAATTTTTTCCTTTTTTTTTTTTTTAAGTAAATTTTTCTTTATGTGTATCATTGTGAAGGTGTCAAATCTCTTAGAACTGGAGTTACAGACAGTTGTGAGCTGCCATGTGGGTTCTGGGAGTTGAACTCGGGTTGCTTAGAAGAGCAGACACTGCTCTTAACCACTGAGCCATCTCTCCAGCCCGAGAATTTTTTCTTAATAATTATTTCTGGGCTCTTTTTTTTTTTTCCAGACTGGATATGAGACTCCTGAACATGACTTGGATGTAGAACAACACAGCGGACATCCTCAGGAGTGCAGGGCCTACTGCTAGTCCAGGGGACCACAGTGGGGAACTGATAGGACCCTACAGCTGCTTCTCAGCTACTGCATCTTCAGGCCAATCTGCATTCAATCTTGAAAAGCAGCTCAGTGTGGCGGCACTCATCTGTAACCCCAGCACTCGGGGAGGCAGAAGCAGGCAGATCTCTGAGTTCGAGGCCAGCCAGGTCTACTGAGTGAGTCCAGGACAGCCAAGGCTACACAGAGAAACCCTGTCTCTAAAAAACCAACCAACCAAACAAAATAAAACAAACCTGGAAAAGCCCCACTTCTCTGTCCTCTTAACTTTCACCTAACTCCCTCTCAATACATAAATATAATAAAATGGTTTTTGTTGTTGTTTTATTTTTTGAGACTGGGCTTCTTTGTGTAGCCTTGGCTGTCCTAGACTCCCTCAGTAGACCTGGCCTCGAACTCACAGAGATCCACCTGCCTCTGCCTCTTCTGAGTGCTGGGATCACGGGCACGGGGCACGGGGCACGGCGCCCAGCTTTGGTTTTGTTTGTTTGGTCGGTCGGTCGGTTGGGTTTCTCGGCGTGGCCTGGCTGTCCTGGAACTCCCTCTGTGGCCCAGGCTGGCCTCGAGCACACACCCGCCGCTGCTTCTCTGGTGCCGGGATGAAGGGCGAGCTCCGCCACCGCCCCGCCGAAACGAAGGGTTTGAGGTCCTCCAAGCTCCCGGAGGCCCCTGCTTTTCGTTTCGTTTGTCTGTGACGGTGAAGACAAACTCCAGCTGGCCTCTCCCCACCGGAAGCTTCCGCGCCGCGGGTCTGAGGAGGGGAGCGGCCCTGAGGAGAGGCACCGGGCGACTCGGCCCGCGGGGCCCCGTCCGCCCCCCGGCCTCCCCCCACCCCACGCGCGGCGCGCCCCCGTGTCCTCACCTCCCGCGCCGGCCCCGCACGCGCCCACGCCCGCCGCACCCCAGGCGCACCCCTTCACACTCGGCGGGGCACGTGCGGAGCTGCCGCCGAGGCCAGGCTCCGGAGGCCCCGCCCCCGGAGGCCCCGCCCCAGAGGCCCCGCCCCAGAGGCCCCGCCCCAGAGGCCCCGCCCCAGAGGCCGGGTTCACCAAGGACGCCGCCGCTCCCTGGCTCTGCCCCCCGCGGCCGCGCGAGGCCGACGGCTTTTAACGTCTCTAACGCTCCTAACAGTCGGAGCGGTTTTAACGGTCCGCTGCGTCACGCCAGCGAGCGCCCTGGGCCGCAGCCAGCCCGCGGGCCCCAGCAGGCCGACGCACATCCTCGCGGTGTCCCCGGCCACAGCTCTCCTCGAGGGCCGGCAACACCCTGCGACCCGCAGCGACAGAACCAAATTCCGAGACTCCCGAGGTTGTGCGCTGACTGCCAAGTGTGTGCCCAGAGCACACACGCGCACAAAGGCAAATAAATAAAGTAATTAAATTAAATTTAAAAATGTAAGCCAGGCAGTGGTGATGACAGCCTTTAATCCGAGCACTCAGGAGTCGGAGGCAGGCGGATCCCTGAGTTCGGGGCCAGCCTGGTCTATAGGCTACACAGAGAAACCCTGTCTCAAAAAACCAAAATAAAAGAAAGAAAGAAAAGAAAGAAGGAAGAAAGGAAGAAAAGAAGAAAGGAAAGAAAGAAAGAGAGAGAGAGAGAGAGAAAGAGAAAGAAAGAAAGAAAAGAAAGAAAGAGAGAGAGAGAGAGAGAAAGAAAGAAAGAAAGAAAGAAAGAAAGAAAGAAAGAAAGAAAGA